AAAAACCTATCATCTCAAATGCTGGGAGACTTATCAAAAGTCAATCCAAATAGTAACAGTGAAAGCATAGACTATCGATTTCGAATAGTGGAGCTAGTGCTAATGTATGTATTAATGTCATCTGAAGACCTGACCAATTCAACTCGATATTCACTATCATAATCATTTTTTTCGGATAATCATTGCATAAACTATTTCGGGTGTATTATTGTGGAGCAAGCCCGAAGGGTGATCCAAGGATCAGGATCTACAAGCATATTATTTAATTTTCCGGCGATATGAATGTACTACATCTACCATTTGAAATTGCCCGGTCTGAGATAAACAAATCTGAGATATGCAAATCCGAGGCATACGAATTCTGTTAATTATACTACTTTTACGTAAAAAAAGTAAATGAACATCCATAGATTTATACTGTTAAAAACATGGTTGAAACAATGTTGAAGTGTGATTGGAAAAGCAATAAATTATACAATAGCGGAGCTAGTATATCTTAATATAATTACGGATATATGGTTAAAGTATGGTTAAAGTACTGCTGAAATACTGTTAAAATACTTACACTTATAAAAGCAACAAAATCCCACCTTCTCGCAGTCTATTCATTATATACATTGTCAGGATAAATATCGTAGAGGCAAAGCCTCATTGCTCTGCAATAAATATGGTTGAATGGACTGATACTCAAATACAAATTCTCATCGATGAGCGTAGAAATAAAAATGAAGAATATCATAATTTTGGAAGGAATCGAATCAGATTTTGGAATAGCATTGCAACCATAATTAATCAAGAACATAATACGAGCTTTAATGAACACCAATGTAAAGAAAAGTTTATGAATCTTGTTCGGGATTACAATATAAGTATGGCACTATAAAAAAATTTTTCAGATTTTTGCTTATGTCTTGACTAGTATAGCTAATAATTCATGTCAATTAGTTGATATGTCATTATATGGCAGGAAATCAGAGAGCATGAAGAAGTCAAACGGGTGCGCAATATTTTGATGAATTCTGTACGCATTTTTGGAAAAGATCCAAGGATGATTTTGATAGAATTCGTAATATAAATAGTTCAAACCGTAGGCAACGTAGAATTGGAAGGAATAATTCACCTGCGCCATCTACTGAGAAAGTTGAGCATGTATTAGACCAACTATCACTGCGTAATCGAAGAAGCCAAAGATCATCTATTAATAGTCGAAGAAGTCAAAGAAGTCGAAGACGATCAGCATCTCCATCTCTACCCCGTGATACAATAAACACTAATATAAATAATCCTAGTATGAAAAATCCTGAGCAAAATATTGGTCATTCTGGCTCTATCAAAACATCAACTCTTCAACTACTACCTTATGAGGCTACAGATGAAGCACAAAATAATGTGAGTGGGAATTCAAGCCATAACGTAGATGATACAGGTGGGAATTTAGATGATTTGACAGATATTACCTCAACTCCTAATATAACCGCATCACAAAATAATAGTGATATTAGTATGGCTGATATAGGAGGAGGTAATCAATCACTCTCTTATATGGAATCTATAAATGAGAAGGAAAGTTAAATTTCGTCTGAAAAGTAATAAATTTTATTCTAATGTTTGGTTATATTTTTTGTTATATGAATAAAAATTCCGAGTTATGTGTGACAAATTGTCACGCCGATCATTTTTCCTGACTCAGGTCAGCGAAATTACTGATATGTCTAATAATAAAATCGATTGCGTAACACAGATGTTTGATCAACATATATCACAGAATAAATTAGAAGGTCATGGAACGTTTCATGCATGATCTAATCGTGTGACCTGCTGATTGATTATCACCTCGTGATGCGTATCTGTCTTCTTGTGTCACTAATGTCAAAACGAAAAAAGGTCGAAACCGAAGATGTGAGCTCTCCTGCACCTAAACGGAAGTCAATTCGGATTGCGAGACAAGAGCCGATTACGGGAGCCACTAGTAACCTTAGAATCAGTTCCGGCTCCAGCTCCAGTGCCCGTTCAAGCTATGGCTTAAAGGATCTCCCTTCTTCGGCATCTAAATTCGCGTTAGAAGATGTGGAGGCACTAAATGCAACCTTCAAATCAGCTTCCAATGAGAACGAAGTCATACCTGATGTTAGAGGTAAGAATTACTTTGTGTCAATAATCCTCTTAGCGAACTTATACATATAATTTAATTATTGTCTAGCCACGAACATCCCACATGATTATTTTCTCCGCAATATCTCTAGTGATGTGCTTCGAAGACCAGATTTCGATGTTGACAATATTCATGGAATTTCGGATGGACACCTCAAAGCGTTCATTAACAAATTGCACAGAGTTGTCATTAATGCAGGTCTCGATATAGGCACGGATGAATCTAAGACTGACTCATTAGTAAACCAGCTGTTAACTCGCATTATTGACTTTGATAATTGGCCATTGTCGGTTAGGTGAGTAATAAAGAAATGTCTTTGTTATGTACTCTAATGGTTTCTTAAGTTCGCATAATATCTAAACCTAGAGTCAAAGAATGCTACAGGCTATCCGTTAGTGACCACAGAGTATCTGCAAACCCTGAATTTGTCGTGGATAAGAAAGAAGTTGTTATGATAGTTGTAGAAGGTCTGTATGTTTTTGATTGCTTGAAAAGTCCACATTTTTGATAACTCAACCCTTTTCTTAACAGATAAACATTTGAAAAATGTTTCTGCACCTGATTTTGGGGAAGCGCAGTTACTTGCCGAGATTCTTGCCTGTGGATATGAAAATGTGCGTCAATCTATTACGGATCAGACCGTATTTGCTGTTCGTGTCATCTCTTCGTATGTTACATTTTATAAGGCCGAGATTCCTGTAGCATATTGGAGAGAACTTAAGAGGGGCTTACCACGAAAGCAGTCAATTACAATTTTAAGATGGCCAGGGACGAATGATCTAAAGACTGGTCTAGATTTGGCGGAACCGGCCGGAAGACGTTCAGTTTTGACAGCATTAATCAAAATTCGTGAATCACTTTTGCAGGGAGAAGAAGACGAAGGGGAAGACGAACAACTGTTATAATAATGTGATGGGTTATTTAGTCATGCTGGGGAGCGGTTTTTCAGTTCAATTTATTATAATAAAGAATTGCTTCATTTTGCGTTAAAAATAATTATTTTCATGCAACCTGTTATTTTTGCTTTTTCGATTTTCATTACGGAAGAAGTCTGACCAAAGAGGTTGATCTTGGTTAATAATTCTCGTAGTTTTTTTAGGAAAAGCAGATATCAATTGACTGGATTTCCATGATGTAATCATCCCCACATAATTCCAAATTTGATTCTTAGACCGTGAGCGTTGCTACAAAATATGTTGAGTTTCACTGGTTGGTTCCTTTATCCGCTTTGTGCAAGTGAAAAAATTGAACGAAAAAATTTTAATCATCAATCCGAACCACTAAACGAGATAAATCCATAAATTTTAGATATAAAGTTGATGCAGATATGTGGCCAGATTCCAGAAGAACTTTGTCACATTGCTAATCAGATAAAGTAAAAAGATCTTTTTAATGTAATTAACCTGAAAAAGCATATGAACATATCTCAATACTTATTGTATTACATACTCCCAACGACACGCTCCTGCGCGGGATTTGAAGTCCTTGACATACTCGCCAGATACATGACCTATGAATCCCAGTTATGCGTTGTGCTTCAGTTAAAGATGGAAATTCTTGAGTAGAGTTATCATCAAAAATCTGCTTGACAGCACGTTGGTTGCAGTTACCCCAAAGCCCGAGTTGTATAGCATGCTGAGAGTTCTCTTTCTGTGTGCACCATTCAAGGTTAGATGCTTTATTATTAGCACGATTACCATCAATATGATTTACATATTCTTTGCCTTCTTCTTTAGGGCAAAATGCTAATGCCACTAAACGGTGAACACAATGTTTTTCTCGAGCGATTCTGAGATATCCTGCACTTAGAGATCCTTGAGAGATTAAACCATTGGGAAACTGAACTCTGTCTAGGGACGAAACTCTGAATTTCCGTGAATTAAGCTGTATTTCTCTCCATTCTTCATTTAAATTTCGTTCTATGTAATCTTCATAATACATCCAATACCAGCCACCGGCAGTATTTTGCTTCTTGCTACAACATTCTGAAATTCAACTTCCATCAATTTCAAGTGTATTACTTGCGAGACGAATCGAATTCCAAACCCGAACAACCTCCCCATCCAATGTCTTTTGCACGACTCGTCTGGAGGATTTTTTATTTTCACAGGTTGGAAAAACTTTACGTTCAGCATTCTCTTTGGGAGTTACCCATTCCAAATTAACAACTCGATTATCATGTCTGATTCCATTTTTATGGTTAATGAAAGGCTTATTTTCTGGGTTAGGAATAAATGCTTGTGCAACTACAGTATGGATAGCAATATTTTTATAGACATCATTAATCTTAAACACCATTCGTATATAACCACTCCTTTTGCAGGTATTTAGCCTTAAAATCGTACTTTTTTTATTCTTTACTCGTCTGAGATTGGATATTAATTTATTAGAATCTGTTATAGGTAACCAAACTTCCATTATGATCTTTGTTATTATCATATATCTTATTTTTAAATTAAGATATTTATGAATTTGGAATAATTAGATTACAAGTTGCAGGGTCTTTGTTAAGATTATCGGTACTTATCAGAGATATTGCAAATGTTGATTGGTATTATCACTTACATGAGTCAAAAATTCCTGTACAATATTCAGATTCTGTTATAGTAGCAAAATTTATAGAAACTTTATTGATAGCCCATAATATTTTGATAGTTAATATGACATTGTTACCACATGGGTCCACACCCAAGTCGGAAAAACAAAAAGTAGCTAGTTCAACCATAGATTCAGAATAGATATTATGTATTTTATAGCGGAGCTAGTGTCTTTGAGACATATAAATATCAATAAAGATGGCCTGGAGATCAATTTTTCAAATTATCATCACGCTTTATTTATCTGACACATGATAGAGTACATTACTGGGAAATTAGCCAGAGATTGGCGAACGCCTAATTATATGCTTGTAGTACATCCTGAAATAGATTTAACATCCGAAACTGATTATGTAGCGACGTATTTGATCAGGCATGGAGTGCACTGCTCCGCAGATAAACCAACTATTTTTCTATTGCTGGCTATGCATGTTTCACAAACTTCTATGCTGATCCCGATTGGTTAATAATTTTTCGGTTTTTTAATTATTCTGATTGGATAGATCACACCGGGAAATTAGCAGGAGGCTGACGATTGGGTAGTCGTCGTATACATATCCTTACCAATTTTCTGCAAAAGTATACGCTATTCTTCTTGAGTAGGACATCAGCTCTAGGATAAAATCCTAACGGCTCATCGAATAGTGTTGCCTTTGTATTTTTTTTTCTTCACATACCTATATAAATATGTCGCAAGAGAAATCATCCAAGAAATTGTCACGTAGTATCCGCTACAATAAAAATGTAGACTTAATACGGAACAAAAATCAATATTATCAGCTGAGCAAAATGAGCATACACCAACCATAATGTCAATAAATGATATTCCTCCCGAAATAAAACTTGACACACCTTGCATTATCTTTGACCCAAACCGAGTATATACTTTTCTTATTAGTCCTATTAGTGTATTCAACACAGGATTGTCCTCGTGTCAGTTGTTTTTGTGTTTTTGCTTCGCAAATGATTGGTCAACTATTTTCAAGTTATATTGTATGGGTATACCTAGTATGTTGTGTGTTCGAAAGAGCACAATCACCGTTCCGGTGGCTCATAACTCTGGCTTGATGGTTTGTTCAATCTGCAAAAGCTAGCAACTGAGTACAGTTCCATTTTCCCAGTGATTTGCGTCTTATACTAGTTCATGTTAAAAATATTTTTTATCATTAGCACTGGACCCAGTATGCAATCCAGGGATTATGTACATGTGATAAAATTCAATATATTGAAAAAGAATGAAGAAGTATTCCATTTTGTTTATTAGATCACATATCATCGGGAGGTATCAAAACTCGGGAAGAAATTTCAACTAAAGATCTGTTAATCGAAACGTTAATTCGAGAGGCTGGGTTATCAAATAATATTCAGCTATTTGACATCTCATCAAATTTTCTCAAGTTAATCAATGAAATAATTAGAATGGGGAAAGGTAATGCCGAATCTTTATCTCATAATGGTGAAGAAAAAAATAAACGCTTATGGATCGCTTTCGGTCGCTGGTTGGGAATGGAGAACTCATTATAAGGAGGGATGTATGTCATTATCTTTGATCAAAATGGATAATGCTCCAACCGGTAGATTTTCAAAATAATAAATGCAAGGACGCTTTGATTAAAGCCACCGCATATATTTTCCAAATTGAGAAGGCCAGATTAATATTATCTGCATGGGGAGATTTTCATTCGCTTAATAAAAACGTTTAGCTTCGCGATATTCTGGAATTGGAATACATCACAGATGTTGAAGGCAGAACTTTAATCCACCTGGGGGTACTTAATAACCCAAATATCGTAATGCAAGCAACAGACGCCGTAAACAGTTACTATTTTCATACATTAAACAATCTCTCTCATCGAAGCGATGAATTCTGGAAAAATTTTATCGAACATTTTGGCGCATATACTTTTTATAATTCCCTCCCCTATACCAGCTCCAATACAGCGAGTGTGCATAATACTGATCATCATGAATGCATCAATGATTTGATCCATAATCTCGAGCCATTATCGAATTGTATTAATGAATTTCTTAAAATATATTATCAGAATTTGTACGAGAAATTAAGCAAGCTGGAATGGGGGATATTTGCGCCATGACTTTTTGGCATCTTCTCTATGATCACGATTAATTTTAATACTATAAGCGATTTTCACTGGGATGAGCATGACGAACCAAATTCTTTGTGTTGCTTAGTCGCTCTTGGTGATTTCGAGGGGAATGAACTTTGCTTTCCGCAACTCCAGATTATCGTTCCACTTCGTCTAGGACAAGTCGTGGCATTTTTTTCCTGTCTTCTGCTCCAGGGAAATTTTCCTGTAACTCGAGGGATCCAGCATAGTATTATTTACTTTGTTCATAGTATATTCTTTCACCATCTGCATAATTTTACCGAGATTTACAAAGATCGAAAGGATGAAATTGAAAGAGATACACGTGAAGTGCTTGTTTCTTCGATTTCTCGGCAAGATCTCAACAATGCACGAGATCTGAATAACTGAATCACACTCTCCCAACCAAAAAAAAGTCAAACTGAGATACCAGAAAGATCTTGTGATAAGAGGCGAGGGAATATTGGTAAGTAATTATTTAACGTGGGCTAGTACGTTTGTGTTAATCTTTTCATTGTGTTACATACATTGTTAAAATTGCTAATTATGATTGCTACTTCTTTACAGATTTATCGCATGCCAGACGTGGATTAAAAGCAGAGGATCCACTACCTGATGGGGTATAATTCGATACTTATATAGTGAAAATAATTATATAGATTTAGCAGTTTTAAAATGTAGGGCGAAGCTCATTGCTTTGCAATAAATATCAGTTGATCACTGGTTGAATAAAGATTTTTGTATAAATATGATGATTTCTGATTCGCAAATTTAAAATACACGACATCGCTCCACTGAGACTCATTATAACATCATGTGATTTCGAAGTTATGATGTGATTATAATTATTTTCAGATTGAATTTGCTTATTCGCTTAATTTATATATTTATACGCATTAATTATATTACCATATTATAACAATCATGACGAGTAATACTAATAATAATACTGATCCAAGTGAAAAATTTCCTCAATTATATGATGTATTTTTATATAAGAAAAAGGATATAACAGCTATTCAGAAAAAACTTGGTATTAATAGTAATACGTTAAAGCAAATAGAACACAAGCCCGATGGAAAAACACTCGCTGATTCATATAAGTTGCTATTATATTTGGTAGGAGATTTAATATTGATACAAAAAAATCTTGACATTGATGGCAACCCCATTCTGGCAGTGAAATATAATAATATGGCAAATCAAAACAATAGAGATTCTTCCAATTTGTCACTTTCGAAATTATTTAATTTGCTTTTATACTTGGAAGAGGATATAAACACAATTCAGGAAGAACTTGATATTGTTGATTATACTAATGAAGAAATAGCAGAAGAAGCTGATAAAAATGTGAAAGTGTACCTCCAAAAATTTGAGAAATTTCATGATCCCTTAGAAGATAATCTAGGTGTGTTAATAAAAAAATTCGCTAATATAGAGGTAAAAAATTTTGGTTTACTGGTGAGGGAATACCATTATTTCCAAATGTCTCTCCTCAACAATTGCATGAAATTTTCGTCAAAAAATCAGCTAGTGCCAATCAGTACCCATGTTTAGAATCAAAAGTAAAACAAGAAAAATTATCACAAATATATATATATCACAGCAAATAAAAATTCTTTGTTTGAAATTAGCTGGAGGCTGTCGAATATCCTGATTACCTGCTCTATTCTTCGTCATTAAGTAAAATTATTTGTAAATCATGAATGATTAAGATTAATCCTGCCAATCTCTGATATAATTACTGAGTGCAGAAATAAGATCTGTTTCATCTAATAATGTACCAGTGAATATTGAATAGGTGGATCAGAATTGGACCATTTTTTATCTGAATAATTAGGGTATTCGATTTTAATTTTAGGATTAAGTTTTTTCATCACTTCTTCACTAATCCCTTTACATCCCTCCAAACTAAGATATTTCAAATTAGTACAGTTGTGGGATATTTTCTCGACAGCTTTATTATCAATTGAACAATAGCCAAGCTCAAGATATCTAAGTTTTGGGCACAAGCGAGTAATTTCAGTGATACATCGATTAGTGAAACATATGCATGAATTAAGACTCAGATGTTGTAGTTTTGAAGAAAATCTCACAATTTCTATAATTGGTATGTTAGTGAAACCCTTACTTTTATCAAGAATGAGAATACGTATATCTGGACATGAGTGTAGAATTGCACTAATCAATGCGTCTGAGATTTTTAAACCTTCTAATCTGAGATATATCATCTTGGCACAATAGGTTGGCTTTATCTTTCTACACATGACTTTTTTAAAGTTTATCAATTGCTGAGTAAGAGCTCGAGGTATCTTACGACCATGCCGACCTCTCTGATAATCTTCGTTGAAAAACTCAACGCGACGCCATAGAATAGGAGCATTGCAGTGATACCAAAACTGATTAACAAATAAAGCAGGATAGAGGGATTGATCGATTTCTAAATAATATAAGATCTTTTCTAGTAATTCCGGTAAATCAAAAATATTTAGTTGTATCATTCTTAAATTATATGTTATATATCTTTAATCAGAAAAAAACAGCTAATGTTCGGATAATTAATTTTTAGTAGCAAATACCGTGGATATTATATATCAGAGACACTAGCTCCGCTATATATTACTTTGAATTTTCTCAATATTCTCCAAAGTGCTCAGCCTTTCTACTAACTTATCTAATGGAAGATCCAATCCACATCTTTTGGCTTCTATTTGATTCTCAGATGACAATCCATAGAGGAATTGATATTTAAGCTGATTTTCATTATATCCAGCTAATTTACCACATTTTTTTACTTTTGTGTAATATTCCATTATCGAATTCTCCTCTTGTCTCAAATCCCCAAATCGAAACTTTTAAATATCAGTAGGTCCAGTTGAGATTCTATTCAAGTGATCAACTATTTCATCCAGAGACTTTTTAAAGCCGAATTTAATTATTTCTTTTTTATTATCTCGTGATAGATTATTAAAGAAAGTTTTCTTAAGGTCTTGATTATCTAAGTCGATATCCACAGACTGATTGAGTTGTGTTGGTGGTGGAATTTTTGGTCCAATAACTAATTATATATCAGTTCCATCGAGCAATATAAGAGTTTTATTTGGAAAGTCCACTTTCATTGCATTTTCCTGGAACCACAGCTGATCCAATATCAGTATAGAATCAAGTTCAGGTTTATTGGTAACGAAAACATCACTAACTTCTACTTGCTCCCATTTCTGATCTTGAGACAGGACTGAAATTTCCATTGCACAAATTATTCCCAATATATTGGGCTCGCTAATGGGACTATATATTTCTGTATCAGAGGTATTATCAATTTTCAAGCCTACTATTTTTGCTATACTCTCACCTATAACATTGCAATTAGCACCAGAATCTAATATAGCTGTAACAAGTACTTTATTGATTTCACAGGAAAAAGTTTTCATCGTGATGTTTTATTATAACAATATATTTAATTCTGCATTTTTAAATTCGTATTAATAAATAATAATTTCACATTTACAATGACTGAAGCTAATAGCAATATTGGACCAGCTTATCAGAATTTACAAGAGAATGATAATGAAATCGCATCGCTAATAGAATCAGTGAAAAAATTATCAATATTGATCAATGATAGGGATACAGAAGTAGTTTGTAATTCAGGTTCAGGATGTCCAATTATCACTTATGAGGTTGCGAAAAAATTGGGTTTTGAAAAAGATAAAAGTTTACCCAATATTGCTGATAAAGTAGTATCTAATATTGTTAATCAAGTATCAGGTAAAAAAATCTGAATCATCTAGCTACAAGTGACTTCTGGCAACAATAATAAAAATTTTACTGTGAATATGATGGAAGCAAGAAACGTGATTAGTAATTGTATAGGTTTATAATATCTGATATCTCAGTATTTTTTTCTCTAGTCACTGGAACAATTGGTCTACCATTCATCACACTATAATGATCTGATGCTATATTAATTACCTTGTATCTTAATGCCAATTGACGGAGATGTTTACGATGGGTATCGTTCTTATCTCCATGAATTGTAATAGCATGTTCAGAACCAATTTTTCTCAAATACGATGAGCTTATTTCATAAATTGCTAGAAAATTATTAATTGGGTGGATGTTTACATCACCATCTTTATCTCTTATTAAAAATGGGAATTTATTAGGAATTGCTTTCTGGATCCAAATAAATAATTCTCTAGCCAGTAGTGGATCTTTCTCCATAGATACTAATGGTCTAGGTTCGTCTTTTTTATTTTTGGCATATCCAGTGCAGTACCAAGAATATTTAGGATTATACCATTCAGTAGTATCTGCTTTATAATACTTAATACAGAGGTTTCCCACATCTGCCGGTCTCATACATAACATTATCATTATATCGATTAAATTTTGCATAGAGGGAGGTTTTGTTATATCACACTTACTAAGTCTTTCCTGAACATTTTCCAGATAAAAGAATTCTGGACAATCGAACTCCTCGTCTTCACGGAGTTCCTGATTTATTGCTTGTTCTTTATTTGATTTTTGAGTAATATCGAGTATATATATTGCTTCTAATATAAGATAATCAGCATCGAGATTGCGTAATTCTTTTCAGAGCAATTTAAGACATAATGATTGGGCTATTACGGTAGGAGCTATTTTAGCTAAGTTATATGCTAGCAGATTTATCTTTTCGGGTTTAAGATTATCTTCATTCTCCTTAATATATTGAGTGAGCTTTTTAATCAGGTCTCGCCCTGTAACACACCTTCCAGAAGCCTGGATAGAAATTAAAGCATATGTTTGATCTTTGCTAAACTCTAACTTCTAGATCCTATTTCGAGCGTGATCATGAGCTTTATAATCTTTAATCTCTTTACATATTTTTTTAGCATAATTACCAAACTCAGCTATACTTATCTGAGGAGTTAAGTTATACTGATTCACGAAATTTGTAGCTACTTTCGACATTGTTGTTATGATATAATTGTGTGGACTATAACTATGAAATATATTTTTTCAAATCAAAATTAATTATCTGCTGATAGCTATACCCAAAAATTGAATGGATGATGATTAATGTAATTCTAACGAGAAATGGATACGAATAAGACACAAGATAGATCGAAAGTTTTAATCTATATATGCCAGGTATATGATACATGTTAATGTCTTGGATCAGATCTGTCGATTTGAAAGTTACCAATACATAGGATATAACGAAAAAAATTTATAGCTTTGGGGTAGGAGCCCAGGCTATGATAACGCTTTACAGTATTTTATTTTTATTTTTTAATATAACTCTCGAATAGTGATGGATGAATTAAGACCTCTTTCCAATGCACATATCCATCACGTATTAATTTATTATATATTGATCCATCGATTGTAATTATGCGATTCATTTTGGGGTTATAAATTTTTGGCTTTCTCTAACGATTAGCCAATTTGGATAATTGCTCAGCAGTAATTGTTTCTTTAGTATATTCCGGCTCTTCGGTGTATAATTTATACATTTTTTTAATGTGGTATATGTAGTATCAGTATGTAAAGTTATTTTATCTCATTATAAATTTGAAATATTTAAATTGATATTTATATTTGAATTTTATACATATATTATATATTATGTCCTAGAATACTTTCATGGATCACACTATCTGCTCTCACATTAAAAGAGATAGATCCATCTGCAGAAATAAATGCTAACAACCTACGGATTGTTACAGACATTGGAGTTTACATAAGCAGAATATAGAGAAATTCCCTTGCGGTATTTGTGGAAAACCTACTATATCTATTACGGGATATTGTCCAAAACATTCTGATCGATTTCATTTATCGGATGAGACAAAAAGAGCTTATTTCCCAAGTTTCTGAGTAGGCAAAGCTCATGATTCAAAGAAGAAGCAGAGCCTTGAATCTCTGATTCATCACCTAAAGATTTGCAAGACAATAAATAAATTTTTAGTATATGTCATTTATTTCGGAAGAAATGGAACTTCATTCCTGGGTGATATAAAAATCCTTTCTGCAGAGTATAGTACGATTCGAAGTGTCAATTTTTTACAAGTATCATTTTTAAGTGTCACAAAAACTCCCTTTGTAAGCTATATCATAAACCCTTATTAAATAAATACTCATTTTAACAGATATCAAATAGATTCTGAGTATCTTGTGAAATAGAATTGGGAGAGTTTTCTATTTCATCAGGTGAAAGTTTACTATATTTATAACGTATATCCTCTCCATTTTCATAAAAGAGACCTTCTTCCATTTGGTATGGTGGCAATTTTGGAGCATCTTCACTATTGAATGGACTAACTAAATAATAATACCTAAGATTTTTATCTATAGCCTTAAATTTTAATCTGTAAGTTTCATTTAATGCTGTATTCAATAATCCTAATTTCGATTTTATCGATTTTAAGCCAGATTTTTTAGTACTGCGAATTGCGTCTATATTATCAAAAACCTGAGCCATCTTAGGTACTAAACCCTGGAGATACTTCATAGATACAGATGACTTTAAACATGATTTAACAATATTAGCTTTATATCTATCTCAATCATCAATATCTTTAACGGGTGTGCAAGTCTTTAGTAATTCCAGACATATTCGATGTTTTTCTGCTTGAGTGATAGTTGTGAGCCTATCATTTCTATAATCTT